GAGGGCTTCCGTCTAGCTGCTCTGCAACGATAACCCAATCTGTGGAGAATCCGTTGAACAGATTTTGGGCTCATCCCTCCAGCTTTGGCCACTTCTGCAGTCGTTAATCTGGGATCTATTCCGATGCTCCTCTTGACAGCTCTTTTTGTCCTCTCCGATGGACCAGGACGACTCGGACGCTGCTCAGTTGTTTCCTTGCGTGTTTCCTGAACTGCACGATGATTCTGTTGACTGTCGAAAGCGGGATTCTCAACTTCTGCGAAATTTGCCGCTGACTTATTCCACCATCTGCTTGACCAACTATCCTTCCTCTAACAAAATCTGACAATTCGAGAGAACCTTGAGTTCTAGGCATGTTGTAACACAAGATAATTGATGTGAGGACCATTTTCATTTATATAGTGCTCTGTGAACACAAATTAGTTAGCATAAATCAGTTAAATGACGAAAAATTAGGTGTCTATTTAATTGTGACCACTCAGTGTAGAGTGATTGTTAGTTTTCTAAAAGTGAAATAACCGTGGATACTTAAGTATTTGTAGTCTCTAGCTTTTTGAATAATGTTTGTTTTTGCCAGCATGTGACATTACAGTAGGAAACAAGACTTACAAGCAAGTTTGAACTCGTGTTTAAATATGTATCTCATTGTAATTATATCTAAGTTGAACTTACCACTTGAAATGCCCCCCAGTGGCACAGCAGTATGTCTGCGGACTTACAACGCTAGAATCTGGGTTTTGATACCCGTGGTGGGCAGAGCACAGATAGCCCATTGTGTAGCTTTGTGCTTAATTCCAAATAAACAAACAAACCACTTGAAATAACCTGATCACATTGGTATTTTGTAGGTGGAGCCGGTGTCTGGTATCGCATTAAAGACACAATTTACATTGGATGCTACAGAAGGCTGGAAGGACTTTCCTCGAGATTACCCACTCACTTACTCCTTCTCTTTTCGTCTTACTGACAACGATGTTGACACTTATATTACTACTGTTACTGGAACACCCCCTCGACTAGAAAACGTTGTTCTTCCTGGAGGTAACTAATGTTTATTTATTTATAGAATTTTCAGACAAAGCTACACATAGGCAATCAACACATTGTCGTCCTTAATATTCCGAAGAGATAGAATAGAAAGAAGACAGCTACAGTCAAAATTCCCGCCAAATCTTGACCTATTCTTGTCAGACCAAATAGTAATTTTGATTACAACTCTTATAGCACGACAACGAGCACAATGTTTCACGGCAACAGTAAGCAAACCATGAATCCTCAATTCTCAGTCCGGACACACTAATTATTGGGCCACGACCGGTCAGTCTGAAGTTAACCAAAAGTATACTTGCTATCCTGTTATTAACAAATGTTTTGCTCAGATTTTGCTACTACGAATTGAAGGTTTCGTATCTTTAAAATGGTGGAATGTTAAACGTCATTAAATGTGAGAAATATGAAAGTTACTTACTAACATGTAATATTTATAAAGTTCAAAGAAGAGGATAGTGCTGGAAATTACTTGTAAGATAAGAATATTTTCATACAAATTTCTTCTCATCTGGTAGATATATATATATAACATATATAGCATGAAAAAGATTAGAGTAATATCGAAAAGTAGGTATTCTTCAGCCAGAGGTGCTTTGGATACTCAAAGAAAAACAACTTGACAATGGAAGATTATAGTAATATCGAAAAGTAGGTGTTCTTCAGCGAGTGATTCTTTGGATATTCGAAGAAGAACAAC